ACAATAGGAGAGTTTGATTTAATAAACAGTTCTGACAGACTGCATCTCATACACACATAAATGTTCCTGTGTTACCTTGAAGAAAAAAATTGGTCAGCCTCTGATGTAGAATCAAAATTGTGAGTCACGTCCTGATTCCTAGCATTTGCTGGTTTCCATAGTGTAAATACTGCACTGTTGTCTATTTTAAGTTACAGTACACTGTCGCTGAATGTGGAATTGGAAAGAGATGTTAAGCAGCTCGCTCTCATGTAGCACATCCAACATTCCCCATTTCAACAATTCACAACTCATCAGTTTCAACATTCAGCAGTCAACAATTGGCATAGACTTAAGTAATTACCAAAACATTTATCATAATAGCACCATGACAAAAAATTAGAAAATGATAAGGTCTAGCATTTCCTTTATTTTTAATATTGTCAGTTTAGTTTGAATAATGGCTCTGTTTAACAAATGATTTGTACAATTTATGAAACAATTGACTCTTGCAAGCTTGCACCAGCTGGTGTAATCCATCACTGCAGGTGCTCATGAAATAACCCCAGCTTCTGATGTGTTGTGTCCTCTTCCAGCACCACCATAAAATGCTGCACTCCGGCCTCCACTACAGCCCTATGTGGGATTCCCCCTTTGTTTCTTTATGTTTTTGTTGTTGTTTTGTTTTGGTGTTTGTTTTTTTTTTTTTTTTTTTGTACCGGGAATCGAACTCATGATGTTGTGCTTGCCAGGCAAGTGCTTACACCACTGAGCTAAATCCCCCACCCCTGTTTCTTTATCTTTGGATCTCCCTTCTTGAATTTTTAGCTTGTGTTTGGTTTTATTGTGATGCTTGTCCAGCATTTGTATGAGGTGTGATTAAATTATAAGATGAATTTGAATGTGAAACAAAAATTTTTGAAAATTTTATTACAGTAAAAGATGCATTGCCACTGAAGCACATTAAATACTCCCCCTGGATTTAAGATACTTCTACCACCATCATTGCTGCTTTCCAAAGCCATTCTGGAAGTCCTCTTTCCTGAGTGTCTGGTTGTGTTATTGTGACAGCTTCAATGTCCTGAACCAATTAAAAACATTTACTTTTCATGATCATTTTGACTCTGTGGAAAAAACAGAAGTTGTAAGATGCCAAATTTAGTAAATAATGTACATGGGGACTCACTGGGTGGGTTTGCTTTGACAAACATTGCTGTAAACATTTTTAAACCACCCAGAAACTCAAGACAGCCCTGAGAATGCTATCAAAAACATTCACAAGGAAGAAACACCAGAGCTGCTTCACCAAGTGTCAGTAATGATGGGACCAGTGAGAGGGGGTATGTGAGGGACATCAATGGCGACATGTGCCTTACTGTTATTAATTTTTGAAGCATTCTTTTTATAAGCAATCTCGGTATATCTTAATCACACCTGTCCTTTCTGTGAGTAGCAGTGCTTCCCAAGATACATCATAGTGTAGATCTGACCGGCAGCCTGATTTTGTTTCTCTTTTTTATCACTCATTTCTCACTTTGAAAATCAATGTTTGGTCTTTTTTTCCTAGAGTGTCATTCATGAACACTACAGATAGAAGTTACTAATGTTTCCTGTCCAGGCCTCACGACTCATGACAGACATTAGGATTTCCTTGACTTCTAACAAGGAAGGGAAACTGCTCAGGTTTGAGAGCTGATAGCACACAGGATAATCCAGGAGAGAAGCAGCTGCTAGTTGAGTTTGAATGTGTGTCAGGTCCCTGACGAGCAGGGGATGACAAGGAAAATTGGTTAACTTGAGGAGAGTTTGATTAAAGATCTCTTTACACAGTTATTATTAGCATCTGGCTGGTGAGTTCTCTCCACCCAAAAAAGACTACTGAGCCAAAGTACTGAAGAGAGACAGCAGAAAGCAGAGTCCCCACCATGGAAAAGTTGTGCACTGTGGTGATGCCCTTAACTATGCTCGCTCTGTAAAGGCCCCCTCCCCTGGTTCCCAGGTGTTTCTATACTATGATGAACAAGTCTGCTGTTTCAACAAATCTGTTCAAGACCAGCCTGCCTGTCAATGTACAACTCAATGCATGTAACCAGTTATGTAATGTTTTGTCACGTGCTTTGTACCTCCCACTTCTAAATTCTCTATAAACTAAACTCTTCCTAAATTCAGCACTGTTGCCTTTGAGGAATTATCCCACAACAGTCCACTGACGTGACGATCCCACAGTCCACTGGTGTAAAGATTAAACGGAGCCTTCTTGAAGTGACAGCAGCCTTCAGGGAAGGGCTGAAACAGATTTCCCAAGGAACTCTGTGTCTAGGGCTTTTACACACAGAAATGCCTACATCTGAGGCAAATTGAGATTAACACTGGGGTTACAAGCAGAAAAGTTTGATTTACAAGTGAGCCTATAGGAACTCAGGGTAGGGAGCAGGTGCATCTTTCTAAACATCATTAATTGAAAATGGAACAAGGATGCTTTTTTGAGATGGGGGTCTCACTTTGTAGTTCAGGCTGATTCTGGCCCTGAAATCACTATGTTTCCCAGACTGGCCTCAAACATGTGGTAATCCTCCTGCCTCAGCTTCCTGAATGCTGAGATTATAGGCATGTGCCACCACATCCAGCCAAAGACATCCTTCAGAGGGGTATGAATATCTTGTTGCTGGCAAGATCTCACCAATCTGATGAAGGCTTTGCCGCCTCTGGTTCCCTGGCCTTGGTCATCATCCTTCACTTTACTGTCCCAGTTCCCTCTTTGGCATGGCCTTTCCCTGGCTGCCTTTAGCTCTGTTAGCCAGAATCCTTCCCACAAGCCTCTCCACTCATGGCCCAGTGTTACTCTGAGAAGTCTTCTCTCCTCCCATCAGCCTTGCTTATCCTCAGCATTGTCCAATACACATCACGTTGTACTGATGGTTTAGATCACTGTTGGGAGCCTCTTGTTACATTAGGGAAAATCACACCCTAACCTTGGAAAACAAGACTTAAGCCCAGTCACATTGGCTGGAGAGCTAGTGTTCATTCTCCCTGAGTCTCTTGCTATCTCCCTGCTTCACTACGTTCCCAGAGTGTGAGTAAACCATAGGGACAGAGAGTGATTCTAGGCTGGAGAGAGCAGGGAACAGCAGCACTGCTGCCACCTCAAGCCTCGCAGATAAGAGGGAAGGCAGTGAATGAGCCCTGGAGGCACAGATACTACATAAAGATGGCCACCTAGTAACACACGTGATGTTGTTGAGCAAAACCTCCTGTCTTGTGACCTGCTGTGTTGGCCAGCTTTCCCTCACTGGGAAAAGCACATGACACCTGCAACTTAAAGGAAGAGAGATCTACTTTGATTCAGGTTCCATTGGGCTTGGTCCATGGTGTGCTGGCTCCATGGCAGAAACGGCCTAATGGAAGAAAGCTGTTCACCTCATGGAGCCAGGAAGCAGAGAAATGTGAGGAGCAGGATCTCCATGCTCCCTTTCAGATCACACCGGCAGTGACCCACCTCCAACCTGGGCTGACTGCTTCGTAGCGCGGTCAGCTACTGAACTCACCACAGATCAACACACTCATGAGCATAGTACCCCCAGTCATCTTTCAAACACAGGAAGTTTTGGGGGGACAGTTTAGACTTACTCCATATACCAACCTAGAGATAAGATGTGGAAGAAAATAGCTGGGCCACTTCACTATCTTCCCCCTCCTCTAATTATGTTCCCTGTTGCTCTAACTGAACCAGACTCCAGAAGGTAACTCCATGCAGATCTGCAAGTGGGAACAGAGCGTAACAAAGTAGGGTAGGAGGTAAGTGTGATAAGCCAGAGGCACAGAAGAACTCCGGGAGAAGCATGGAGGGAGGGCTTGATGACCGGGAGAAAGGGGGCCTCACTGGGGAGTAAAAATCTGAAGACTAGAAACAGTCAGTAGAGAGCTTTCCCCTTTCACAAGTTCAAAAATAAGAATGACTTGGGAAGGAACATCTTTCTGAACTGGATGAATTTCAGGATGGTTTATACTGACGCAAATGCTGTGGCTATTTGTAATCAAATGTATACAGTTTTCTAATTTCCGTCCATCTCTATCTCTCCTTCCCCTTCCGTGCCAAAGTATATATATGAAATGCAAAGAGTTTGAATGGTTATAATCCTCAGTTGATGACTTACTCCCCCCATTAGTCCAAGCACACCTGTTCTGTTTTGTTGTTTTGTGTAATATAAACACTGATGAATCTGTCACCTTGCCCATATAAGAAAACTTGAAAATAGCTTCACAACTTATCTAGGTGTAGTAAAACAAGCTTTCTAATTTTTTGTTTGTTTGTTTGTTGGTACAGGGGATCAAATCCACAATCTCATGCTTGCCAGACAGGCATTGTGCCACTAAGCTACATCCCCAGCCCTTTGTTATTTAAGTCCTAGTTTTGCCTGTTGACCTATGAAATACTGAGTTACATTAAATATTCCACTACAAGTGTAGATTTATATATTAGTTGGTTATAAATTTTGATTTATATGTATGAAGCAATCATGTTAAATGTATTTAAATTGTAGTAATTTCCTTGACAAGGTTAATGTCTATCATTACAGAATGGATTTTCCATCTCTAGAATATTTTTTTCCTTAAAATTTCTTTTTTATTTTTTGTTTTAGGTTTAACATGTATGAGTTGCATGTATCAGTGGAGTTCAGTGCGATATTTCAGTACATGCACGAAGTGTGTGCTGGTCTAATCTGGCTCCCTGCTCTCACCCTCCCCACCTGCTCCTGACCTCAGAAATCACTGTTGTACAATCCAGCTAATTTTTAACCCCCATCTATGAGAGAAAACACATACCACTTGCCTGTGTCTGCTTTAGTTGACTTAATTTAGTGTCCTCCAGTTCCACCCATTTTGCTGGAAATGAGAGAATTTCTTTCCTCGTTATGGTTGAATAATATTCTATTATGTGTATATATATATATACACAACATTTTCTTTTTCCATTCAATTTATGAGCACCTATGTTTACTCCATACATAAGTATAAAATTCATTAACCTATTTTTGATTAATATATTGATACCTGATAGAACTGTGGGGGACCAGCGGTGCGGCTGAAAAGATAAGAAGTATGAATTATAAATGACCTTTATTTTGAGAATGTAGGGAGAGACACCCCCAAACCCCTGGGGTGTGGCATCTCCCCCCGGGGTCAGCGATCTCTCTGTGGAACACGTGGAGTGGAGGCATATAAGTAGCCTAGGTTTGGGGTGGAACCTAAGGGACATTAGTGATGCACAGGTAGCCCATTGGTATTCTTTTGGCACCATAGGTAAATTCCTAGGGGTGGGGAAGATGGAGCTCCTTGGTCCCGCCTGAGGCTTTACTGGCTACAGTGTCCTGTATGGGCCAAAACTTTTTCATATCCCGTCTTATGATTATTATTTCAAAAAGGGGCAAAGATTTCTTTCTTTAACTGCTTCCTGCTGGAAGAAGGCGGTGTACTGGAGCCTAGGGGATGTACTGAAGCCTAGGACAGGATGACAATTGATGCCCATGTAGAAGCTGGTGCCAGGTGTTTTAGCCAGGACAACTTCACTGGTGAAAGCATATATGTTACACTGGAAAAATAAAGAGACAAGATGTTATGAGGAGGTATGGCACTGTCATATTTAAGGACCCAGGTGAGGTAAAAGGGAAGGTGCCTTTGATTTAGACATGTCATTATATCAGGACCACGTTGAGGTAGGATCATTGTCACAGTGAGGTAGAATTCTGAAAAAATAAGTGTGAGGTTAGGAGGAGTGAAGTTATAAGAGGTGATTACTCCCCCATCTTAAAGTGTAAAAGTTAAGAGGGTAGGTGAGTAAAACTTGTCCCTGGTCCAAGAGTTGAACTGGAAAAAATAGGGGGAGCAGGGAAGGCAGTGGCTGTACGAGTATAGGGAAGGTAAGGGCCTAGGCTTTCAGGGGTGTCACATTTAACCAAACAGCTGAGGGTAGAAAGAACTAAGACAGTTGTTACATAGAACATTATAAGATGATCTTACACATGATGTGGGAGTCTTTAGGAAAGACTGTCAAGAGTCCTGCTGTAAAAATGATCATTAATAGAATGTAAGAAATTAGGAACCAAAGTGGATAACAGAACATGACTTAGCCTGTAAACTGTGGCTGTGAGGCCTTCATGAAGCAGAGATGGGTGGGTGACAGAAGATGAGATGACCATTCAAATGATCAGATTTAGGGCTGGGAGGGCACTGCTTAGCCTGAGTGATGTGAAACCAGGATGGCAGTCTAGCAACTTTGATCAGTGTTGAGGTTGCCAAGAATATCAAGTATGGGTCGCTGTAACCTGGTTGTAGTCCTTGGAATGATTTTCTGTAACAGAACTTTAGCAAGTACATCAGCAGTCTCCCTGGTTGTGTGAAAAGCTTGTATGTATATTGAAAAAGTATAAACAAAGTGAGAAGACAAAATTTATCTGTCAGTCTTGACCAGGGTTGTCTGAGAAACTGGTGAATAAGAAAGGAAGAGGGTGGTTTGTATCACTGAGGAGAGGTTTAACTAGTGATAACAGGTGTAAGCTGTTGAGGCCTCAGTGTCTGGGACAGCCTGTATAAACACAAGGTAATAAAAAGGCATTTTTAAGATTTAGGACTGTAGAAAGAGTGGTGGAGGGAAGATTTGGCACCACTGGGTGGATCAGGAAGAAGCAGTCTGGAACCTGCAACAGAGCCTGAAATAGGCTCTGTTTGTAAATGGCATAGATTGACCTTTAATACCCCCAGAGGCTGAGGATTTAATATAGCAGCCTGAAAACTCAGGAAGAACTCTGTCCTATGGCCTCTATGTCCACAAGTATAGAGAATGTCTTACCCTGAGACTTTTAGTGGAACTTGGATGCTTGGACACCCATAAAGGGGGCTGTTGTTGGCCCTGAGCCCCATCAGTCTTTAGCAGCAAGTTTAAGCAGATCTGTCAATGATGAATCTGGCAATGTTGGCATTTCCTGTGAGGGCTAGAAGTCAGGATGGCTTACTCACTCTCTGGTGGCTAGGACAGTCCAGGAGCCCTGGGGTAAGGTCTCAAAGAATGCCAGGATGGAGCACTCTCTTGCCCAATGTCTTCTGCTGCATTTGAGGAATGGTCCATGGGGAGGGGGCAGGAAGCTCCACCTTGTGTCGGTTTACCTGTCTCAGAACTCCCAGTGTCACAAGTGTTATTGTCATCTCTGTTGTTGAAAACATGAAAAACCATATTAAGGTCTCTATGAGGTTTGAAGGTCAAGTTTTGCCTTTTTGCTTGGGATCTGGACTACAGTAGAAGGTATCTGTAGAATTAAGTAACTATGCAGAAGTCAAATATAATCAACAGGGTACTTGTAATTTTAGTAATGATTTCCCATAAGGAGGACAGGTCCAGAGAATTTTAGGAACTGACATGTTATTTATGTCATGTATATAACTACCTCTTTATATTATTAAAATGTCTAATGCCATCTGATTTTGAGGATGGCCTGTTTAATTAATTTTTTATCTTTTTATTTAGGAGAGAAATCAGCAGAGAACAGTGTTATTTAATATCAGTTGAATATAGTTAATTATGGCTCAGTGGAGAAAGGAATTCATACATACCTCTTAATTTTAGTTGTTGCACAGGAGACAGGTGACAATACAGTATAATATAGACAGTAAGCTTAACATTGAACATTACTGGTGGTTAATAGCAAAAGGAATTGATAAAGACCTCTTAATTTTAATTGTTAAACAGGAGATTACTGAAGGCTTTAACTGGTAAAATTACCAGGTGGCCACTGCCCATTTATCAGCCAAAGTCTTGTCTATTGCCAGCTTATTTAACCTTGATTAAATGGTTTGAGAATGTAAAAAAATAGTACCTCTGAGCCAAGCTGCCGAGCTACTGTTTATGTTTTGGCGCACCGGTGGAGCGTGGAGGTTGGGTACACAGAGTGAAGACGGGGTGAGCGCCGGGATGTAGCACGCAGGGCAAACTGGGACTGTCCCTGGAAACATGCGCAGGGTGGCAGTGGTGATGGCTACACATGGGGGGCGGGGCTGGGAGGCGGAGTTGGGATGCAGCACGAAACTGGGATCTTACACACTGGCAGACCAATGGACCAGCACAGAGCTGAGCTGCCACATGGAACTGGAACTGTTCACGGGGCACACGGATTAGGGCACGGTGTTAGAGCAGACCCCGCATGGACTTGGAGCGTGGCATGAGAGCCAAGATACCACGCAGCGTTGGGCCACAGCGTGAAAGCCTAAAGCAGCAGTATCTCCCAACACTGTTTGGGCTGGAGCGCGGCATGAGAGCTTAAAGTAGCCCACAGGGATCTCTCAACACTGTTTGGGCTCATCTTTTTTTATCTCAGCGGGGAATGGGTCGGCTTGCAGCGGGGTGGGAGGGGAAGCAGGGAGGAAAGGAGACGCTGAGAAAGCTCTGAAAGGCTGCAAGGAAGGACGCTATTATCTCTTTAAGTGTGGGGAGGGGGAGGGATCCTGGAAGGGAAAGGATGCACATTCCCAAAACAAAGGCTTAAAGATAGAGAGCTTTGTAAACTTGTCACCAGTGTGATAAGCTATAAATAGGAATGGTTTTTTGAGGGGGACAGGAAGTGGTCCCCAAGATAAAATCTGGTGTAGGGTCTGGCCCACAGAGTTATAGCCAGATGAAGCAATGGACTGTGGTCTACTAAGTTTAAAGTCGTCACTTTTTACTCTAGACAGATCGGTATTTTATGGTTCCAAAACTTGTAATAATTGGCTGTCACCAATATACAAGCGGATTTCATGTGGGTTTAGTAACAGCTCTGCCCATGAGAACTTAAAAAGCTCTGAAGGACGTGAGAGTCTCCCAGTGTGGACACAGGTTGGCCCAGAAAGACCCTGCCTTAGGCTATCTAAGGACGTGAGAGTGTCATGCGAACCCACAGAAAGGGGGAGAAAACCCGCCTGGGGCCTGGCCCAGCGGCAATCTCCGAGGGTTGCTCACCTGTGGTAAATTGGGTTGGTGTTGTTTGTGAGCGAGCAGTGACAAGTTTACAGCTCCAGAGTGTAGAAGTGAGGAACTAATGCAGGATGTAGTCAGGTCCTGGTCCTGAATGGCAGGGGGCTCAAACTGGGAGGGCCCAGGAGTCTCTCATCTGCCGTTCCCGGTCAGGGAACCATACCACAGAACTGGGGGGGACCAGCAGTGGCTGAAAAGATAAGAAGTATGAAATATAAATGACCTTTATTTTGAGAATGCGTGGAGAGACACCCCCGATCCCCAGGGGTGTGGCATCTCCCCCCGGGGTTGGCGATCTCTCCGTGGAACACGTGGAGTGGGGGCATATAAGTAGCCTAGGTTTGGGGTGGAACCTAAGGGGCATTAGTGATGCACAGGTAGCCCATTGGTATTCTTTTGGCGCCATAGGTAAATCCCTAGGGCGGGGGGGAGATGGAGCTCCTCGGTCCCGCCTGAGGCTTTACTGGCTACAGTGTCCTGTCTGGGCCAAAACTCTTTCAATACCTGTTTTTGTTTACTTAGCATTTATACATTAAACCATCTTTTTATTAAATCTCTGAAATGCCTTTTATGTTCTAGGTAAATACTATGCTATAGTATATCAGGTTGGAGGTCAACCTAATAATCTGGCTCTGCTCACAAGCTTGTCCTAAAAGGAAAACCATAGATTTAGAAGGACAGCAACACTCAGCTTCAAAATGTCCCAGAAGGACACAGGCATCTTATTTTTAAACATCGAGTGGGGTAGATGAAGGGAAGGAAGATTGAACCATCTGTCACTTAGTACACAGGTGTACAGTTCCCCTGGGATCCTTGGGAAAGTGAGTCAGAGTTTGATTTTCTTTTTCTTTTTTTAATGGAAAAAAAGTAAATCAAAATTTCATAATAAAATAGTAAGATAACAACAATAGTTCATACAGCAAGTATTGTTCTCTCTAAAGTAGTTAATCAGAGTACAAGATACGGGCTTTAAAAGTTCTCCAAATGATATTAACACAAACCTTTCTTGTCAATGAACTAAGAGAAATTAGTAGTATAACTATCTTGTATTTGGGTTTTTTTTTTCCTTTTCCCTTCTTTCTTTCCCCCTTCCCCATCCTGGTTCCTTTTTCCTTTTAAATCACTTCTTCCCGTTTCACAGTATCTATTGTTCATTTTGGACCTTATGTATGCTTTCAGTTCCTCACACCAGGGAGACGTATAATGTTGACGCATGTGACTCTGGTTTACTTCATTTATGGGTATGGTCTCTAGTTGCATCCATTTTGGAATTTGATTTTCTTATTCCCTAGGACACCATGAAATATTTTGGTTGACCCAGCTGCTCACCAAGGGTCTTGAGTTACCATTCATTTCCATTCATTAGAGGCATACAGATCCGCAAAGGGGAGCTTTAAGTGGTGACTCTGCAGAGGCCCTCTTGGACTCCCCACAATAAATACAGGAAAGTGCTGATGTTGCTCCTTCCTTATTTCCTGCAATACTTCCTCCCGCTAGGCTGCACCTGTTCGAGGTCCACGATCTCACCGATCTCACTGTTGGGGGACTGAAGCTGTATCATCTCCCAATCCCACCATTCCTTGAGATCAGGGCAATTTGGTAGATGCCAGGGTGCTGTGCCCTAGAAGACCCACAGAGATTTCCCTTCCCCAAAACTCTGACATTTAAATCTAACACGCAATTCTAACACTCATATGAAGATATCAATGATAAAGAGACCTTAAGGAAACTGTTTTTAAAAGGCATACTGACTTCCGCTCCAGCCAATGAGGAATGAGTATGAGGCAGCATCACTTGTCTCTGGCAGACTAAGTGACTAACCAGTCATCAAGAAGCAGAGAAGGCAATTAATGGGAGATACAGCATAAAATAAACCTATGCAGAAATACGTGGGATCATCAGGAAATTACACACATCTGTGAGGATTTATACTAAAAAAGGTTAATGGAAAGAGGTGTCACGTTATAAGATTTAGAATAACAGTCAGGATCTACTAAGCTTTCGGGAGTCAACAGAATGAATTTGAAGCACTGTCAGCAAAGACACAAGGGCACTGGTAACCTATTTCCCTCTCACCAACTTTATGTTTTCATTTTATAATTACTTTTATTATTGCTTTCATCAGAAGTTTTTCTGGTTTAGAGGGAGGCAGTTGTTCCACAGATACTTTTGAAGCCTCTAAATATATAGACTGGGAATATACTAACATCGTTTCTAGCAACAGACTCAAAGCAGCTGCAGAAAGAGGGCCACTCAGATCCACTGTAGTGGCCGAGCCACCACTCTGATCTATTTAAGAGGAAGATGCCTTCAGCAGCTGCAGCACTGATGACAGAGAAAGACAGATTTAAAGAAAACTCTCCATTCATGACAAAACAAGAGCAAAATACAAAGAAATATATGCAGAATTATGAACTTAGTAGAAATTTAATAGAGGTCCATGAAATAAGAGAGACTAGTGTATTCTATGCCTACAAATGTCTGCCTACATTTTCTCGTTTAAAAAAAGCTTCAGCAATATATGATTAACAAACTCCTTCTACTTACCCTGTGTCATTTTATGAGTCTTCCACTTATATCAAACCCAAGACCATCACTTCCGTCATGATACTGCATATTATCCATTATCCCTAGAACTTCCCTATGATAATTTGTAAACCATCCTCACCCCCAATCTACAGGCAATCGCCAAACTGTTCACTGTCACTTTCTGAAATTTTATAAAAGTGAAATCACACAAGAAGCCATATTCTGTCTTCCCTCCTTCAACATAATTATTTTGAGATTTATGCATCTTGTATACATCGGTGACTTCTTCATTTTTATTGTTCAGTAGCATTTCATTGGGGAGATTTGTCACTATTTCTTTATTCACCTGTTCATGGATATTTGAGCTGCTCCTGGTTTTTAGCAATTGCAAGTCAATATTTTTAATATGACTTCATGTAAATTATTTCACTTTGCCTAGTGGTAAAGTGCTTGAATCATACACTTCGCTAACTTTTTTGAGTGATCATTAGTAATTCACATTTTTAAAGAAATTTTCCCATTTTGTCTAAGTAGTCAAATTTACAAGGATAAAGTTTTCTTGTACTTTTATTATTTTGATCTTTGCATGATCTCTAATCATATCTTTTCTCTCATTCTTGATATTGGTTGTGTTTCCACTTTTTTCCCTAATTAGTCTCACTAGAGGCTTATCAGTTTTAGGGACTTTTCCCAAGAATTACATTTTTGGTTTTGGTTTTTGTTTGTTTGTTTGTTTGTTTTTTACTTTCACGCCATTGATTTGCACTCTAAATTTTATTAATTTTTTTCTACTTACACTAGCCTTAGTTTGATTTTCAATTCTCTCTATTTTAACATAAAATCTCAGCCCATTGATTTGAAAGGATTTGCTATAAGTCAGAGACTATTTATATTTAAAACTACCTAATAAAACAGGAAAATGTATGTGTGAAGAGCTCTTGTTTTCACTAATATAAACCTTTATTAATTTTTGCACTATAAACATGTAGCCTGCAAGTTAGTTCTAAATATATATTATAAAATAAAATATCACTCTTGCTGAAGTGTGAAAAATACATTTGATAGCAGAAGAGCGCGAGAAAACTCAGTGGGAAAACTGAGAGTGGCTTCCCCTGCACTGACAGGCTAGGTTCTGTTGCTCCATTTTGTTTTGCTTTGTTGTGAAGCGTGTAATTTTATGTCAGCAATCTCAGAGCTCACGGGTCTTCCAGCAAAAGCAGGCTTGAAGCGCTGCTTCATCCGTGCTCTTTGCTTCCCAGACACCCAAAGCCACATCCCGGGCAGCACCGCATTTTGGAAACTTAAGAACAGTCAGTGAGACAAGAGTGGAGCTGGCTGTCACTTCGGAGAAGGAACACTGCCTCTCCAGGGCCAGCTCCGTGGGAAAAGGGGAGGAGAGCGTCCTTGTCTGAACTTTGTTAAAGCTCGGTGTCTCCCCCTGCTGGTGCGCGTGGTCCAGCGGACGTCCTGAAAGCTGTCAGCCCCTCAGGCCCTGAACTGCTTCTATTGCATTTCAGGAAAGACTGAGTAAAGTTCCAAGAATGTTTAATGTAGTGAAGTCTCTGAGGCCAGGGCAATGAGGACTTTCAACCCGCCACGCCCACGCCTGAGAATGACACTCCGGTTTGCACCCTTTCCCCGCCCACCCCCACAGCTCTGCTCTGTGTCTCCTTTGCTCTCTTTTCAAGTCCCTGTGCTCTCTCTTCCCGCAGATGTCAGCTTCCCTACGCATTAATTTAGCCCTGCTCGCCCTCCTCGTTTTATTTTTTTGCTTCTGATATTTCAGATAAGAAGCGTTTCCCTCTGCTTCTCATTTTTGACACTATTTCTTGGTTAGATCATTTCCCATCTGAAAGCTGTTAGAACATTTTTAAATCATCATTGTTTTCCGTTCATTTATCTCATGGTCAAAACTTCCATCACGTTCTAGGAACTATTTCTGTCTTCCCCATTGCTGCTTAGTGCCTTCCAGTTGTACGGCTCCTTTCCAACCCAGTACTGATGTCACCTCTTAGCTCTGGAAAACATCTTTTATTTGTTCTCTCTTTTTTTTTCCCCTACACTCTTTCTAGTCTTTTCCTAGAATACCCAGTGTTCTAGAAAGTTCTATATGTTTTCAACTTTACCAGTCTCATTGTAGACACAACTAGTGTAGTTGTTTCTTCTTTCTCGTCTGTCATTTTCCTATTGCTATGGACCAACTACCTGAAAACTATTAGCACTTCCTCGCCTGTCTTGAAGAATGCTCACTGTTACTCTCAAGAATGAAAACTATTTAAAATGTAACCCTGCCCCTGAATAAAGGCCAGCAGCTTCCTGACACTGTTGGTTTCAAGTAGGAGCCTAAAGAGATGTCTTTCTATGGTCTGTTGGCCATTTCAGAACTTGGGCAGTGAAATGGTCAATTCATTAGAAAGAAACAGCTTGAAACCACCCCTCACCACCCCACCCCACCCACATGATCAGCTGTGAGCATGGCACGCTACAGGGGCCCAGGGTGGAAGCCACCAGCATTTACTGGGACCCATGCCATGCTGGGACCCAGAGCACCAGGAAACCAAGCTACCTCTCCCCCCACCTGTTTCATTTTGTTGAACCTCAATAAAAATGAAAGTATGGACAGCTATTTTGAAGAGAATGAGAGACTCTATGACAGCTGTTAGTGACTTCTCTATTTTCTGGTTTTGAAGACCTAAAACACTTTCTTCATTCTGTTCAGATTAGTTTTATACTATGTTGTTTTGCTCTGTATGCGAAGACATGGACAACTGTTTGGAAGAAAACAAGAGACAATATGATAGACTGTAAAGATCTCAAGTCATCTAGCTTTGAAATTTATATCTTTTACATTGCTTTCTTATGTCCTACTTTATTCTGTTTTGTTGTGCTTAATTTTACCCCCTTTAAAATAAAAGCTAAAAAAAAAAAACACTCCAACACTCTTATTTCTTTCCCCCATTTTTTGTGGATTCCAATAGTCTTCTTTTGCCTGTCTTCTGAATCACTGTCACTGCATCACTGTGGCAGACACCCAACAAAATGATCAAATAATCAGAGAAGTCAGCCACATGAAGGACCCGCTCCCTGACCCTGCAGGGTGTCATCCCTCAACCACCTCATCAGGAGTCCATGTAGAGAAGTGATTATCTCAGAAACACTGACAGATGTGATCTCATCTGCTTGAATGGATACTCATGAAATCCACAAAAGACAAAGTTTTTTTAAAATCCTCCTACCTACACAAAGTAGGAGAAACTCCAAAATGAAATGAGAATATCAGAGCCCAAAAATTCCACTGGCAAGAAGCAGACTGAAAAAACCACCCAGCTGCAAACTCCTGCCACTTTCCATGAGGAAAGAATGATTCAGAAGGTAGATGTGAGAATCCAGGGAATGAAGCCACAGGCCGCAGAAGCCTGAAGATCGAGGGCTGGCTTTGCTGCAAACCACAGGAGAGAAGGCTGGGGGCCTTCCCCACCCAGATCCACAAGCCCAGAGAACATTATTCCCAGTCCTTGAACTGTAGGAACACAGTCTCACCAAGCCCAGTTGCAGCCTGTGTGGTCCCAAGCAGAGGACCCAGTGATGCTGAGAATGGACAAGAACAGTGGGAAAATTAATTTGTGTTACTTGTAACTGCTATTCATGGCAACACAGGACTAGAAAGTTCATAAATCTCCAATACTTATTTACCTATCATCTTGGTTACTTTTCTCTCATTTCTGGGACAAAATATCCAATACCCCAAATTAAAGAAAAAAAGATTTATTTAGCTCACAGTTTGTGGAGGTTTCAGTCCACAATCAGCTGCCTCCAAGGCAGAGTGGCATGGCACAGGGGCAACACTTCAAGACTGCAGAAGACAGAAAAAGAGCAAAAGAGGCGAGAGTAAGCTCTTCTCCTCTCTTATTCTGTAAGCAGACTATCACTACCACCGCAGGGTAGGTGTAATACTCATATCACCTCTTTGCCCTCCTCTTGAACAGGCTAAGGATATTTAATAAAAAAATTTATTAAACTTCTCAGGTTCACATAGTGTATCAACCATAACACCTATTTTATTTCATTGTCTTTTATTTACTATTCTTATGCCATTTTACAACATCTTTCACTGTGTTTTGTTTTAAATATATGATCCACTTGTAATTTAATCTCCATTTTAACATGATTTTGGCTGGGCATGCTGGAGCACACCTGTAGTTTCAACACTCAAGAGGTTGAGGCAGAAGGACCACTGTGAGTTCAAGGCCAGCTTGGGCCACAAAGCAAATTCAAGGCCAGCATGAACTGCATAGTGAAATCCTGTCTCAAAAAGATCACCAAAAAAGCCCGCCCAGCTTCAAGCCACACTAGACTGGGCTCTGCAGGTTTCACAGGCCTAGCTGGGCCACATCCAGCAACCTTCTTTCAATCTGGAGAACTGGGGCTGCTGGAGGTGAGTTCCAGCACAACACCACAGGGCAGGGAGAGTCTAACATCATTGCTCCCAGCTGTTACGTGCCTACCCAGTTGCCAGCCACACTAGACTAGGCTTGGAAGTTTTTGCAGGCCCAACTAGACCATGCACAGCAACCTTCTTCAGGGGAGCTGAAGGCACGTGAAGTGAGTTCCAGTGCATCAGTGCTTGCCCAGGGAGAGCTTTAGACCATCACCCACAGTGGTTAGGAGCCTTCCCAGCTTCCTGAAAAACCAGAAGTGGCATGAAAGGTCCCACAGGCCTGACTGGACCATGCTCAGCAACTTGCATTCAGTCCCAGGAGCCAAGGGCATAGGGGAAAAATCATCATTTCCCACATGCCCAAGGGAAGCCTTGGAACAATACTTGAATTGCAGAAATATAGGGAAATGACAAGACCAAAGACAAAAATGCAATCTCAAAACTCCATCCCATCCCAAGAAAGCCTAGGAGCCATGTACATAGAAGAAAATATATGCCATACACCTGAAATACCTGTAATAATAGCAACTGAAATAAAGAAGCAATTCTGGGAAACTATAAAGGAATTCAAATGAGAAATAATTTCCCGGGTAAAAGAAGAAATGATAAAAGTAATGAAAGAAACGCTGAACACCTCTAAAGAAGACACAGTTTAAAAATTAGAGGAACAAAGCAAAAAGAATCCCTGGATGAGCAATATAAGAAACAAACAGAATACATGTGGCAGATTCAAAGAGATATACAGGAAATCAAAAATTCCATTGAAAGTTCTCAAAACCACCTCAGTGAAAGTGAAGATAGAATTTCAGACCTTGAAGACAAGATTGCAGCTAGTGAACAGGAAAGGAAAGATCTTTTAAAAATAACAAGGAATTAGGAAATAACAATTTAACAGCTGTAAGATGATGCAAAGAAAAACAACAAAAGATAGGGATAAATGAAAAAGAAGGGGACGATACCAATGATATCCAGGCTATTTACAGAAGTAATAGCTGAAAATTTCCCAAATATGAGAATGGAAACTGATATTCAGATTAGTGAAGTATATGGAATGCCAAATGGCCAAAATAAAACTACAACCAGACATACAATAACCACAATCCCGGGGCTGGGGATTTAGCTCAGTGGCATAAGTGCATGCCTTGCAAGCAGGCAGTCGTGAGTTCAATCCATGGCACTGATAAAAAGGAAAAAGACAAAAAAAAAAAAAAAACAATAACCACCATCCCAGAAATCCAACATAAGAATAGAATATTAAAAGCTGTTAGAGAGAAAAGACAGATCACTTATAAAGGAAATCTATCAGAATCACAGCAGACTTCTCAACACAAACAATGAAGTCAGAAAGAGCATGGAGTGAAGTATTTCAGATCCTAAAGGAAAACAACTTCCAACCTAGACTGATGTACCCTGAAAAACTGTCCTTCAAAATGGACAGAGAAATAGGATACTTCCATGACAAAGAACAGCTGAAGAGCTTCATGATCACCAAATCAACCCTGCAAAGAATACTGAAAGTCTAGATAGACATAAGAAAAAACCACTAAGCAAGGCAGAAAATTAAACAGAATAGAAAGATAAAGATGAAACAGCAGAAAGATAACATGTTAACAATAAACCAATATATAACAGTTATAACCATTAATTTAAATGGTCTCAATTCACCAATTATAAGAACCAGACTGGCAGAATGGATCAAGAAACAACATCCAACCATATGCTGTCTACAAGAAACCCATCTAACCCAAAAGGATACTCACAGACTGAAAACCAAAGGATGGAAAACAATATTTCATGCAACAGGAACAAAAAAAAAAGCAGGGACAGATCAACCAGACAGAAAATCAACAAAGAAATAACAGAACTGAATCATAAATGGACTTAATAGATGTATACAGAGTGTTCCATCCAACAACATCAGAATATACATTCTTCTCAGCAGTATATGGGACATTCTCTAAAATAGGCCATATACCACCCTACAGAACATATTGAAGTAAATGTAAAAGGAGTTGAAATACCCCATGCATGTTATCAAATCAAGACAACATGAAACTAGAAATTAATGATTGATATACAGACTCAATGCAATCCCAATGAAAATACCATTTAAATTAATGACAAAAACCCCATAAACACATGGAAATTGAATAATACACTCTTGAGCAATCAGTGTGCCACAGAGGAAATTAAAGAAGAAATTAAACAATACCTACAAGCAAATTAAAATACAAATACAACTTACCAGAACCTGTGGGATGCAATGAAAGCAGTTCTCATAGGAAATCTTATCACACAGAGTTCCCACATCAGGAAAACAGAATGAACACAAATAAACAACCTGATGTTACACCTCAAACATCTAGAAAAAGAAGAGCAAGTCAAGCCCAAAGCCAAAAGAAGAAAGGATATTATAAAAATTAGAGCAGAAATCAATACAACAGAGACTAAGAAAACAATCCAAAAAATCAATGAATCAAAGAATTGGTTCTTTGAAAGAATAAACAAAACTGATAAACACCTAGGCAAACTTATTTGAAAAAGGAAAGCAAAATCTCAAGTTCATGCAATGAGGAATGAAAACAGTGAAATCACTACAGACTTTGTGGAAATGCAAAAGATCATCAACACCTATTTCAAAAGCCTCTACTCTCATAGGTTCGATAATACAGAAGAAGTGGACAGATTCCTAGAAACATATGAAGTACCAAAGCTAGGTCAAGAAGATGTAAAACTGCTGAAAAACTCAATTTCTATTAATGAAATTCAAAATGTAATTAAGTCCTTACTTACAAAGAAGAGCCCAGGCCCAGATGGATTCACTGGAATTCTGTAAGAAATGCAAACAAAACTTAATGCTAACACTCCTCAAACTCTTCAATAAAATTGAAAAAAAAAGCAATTCTTCCTAAGTCATTCCTGGAAGCAAATATTACTCTAGTACCAAAACTTGAGAAAGACCCAACTTAAAAAAAGAAGTACAGGCCAATCTCCCTAATGAACACAGACGCAAAAATCCTTAATAAAATATTGGCACACAGGATGCAGCAAATCATCAAGATTATACACCACAACCAAGTGGGATTCATCCCATGCATGAAGGGATGGTTTAACGTATGTAAATCAATAAATGTAATCTACCATATCAATAAAGCCAAAAGTAAAAATCGCATGATCATCTCTATAGATGCAGAAAAAGCTTTTGATAAGGTCCAACCCTCATTCATGATAAAAGCCTTACAGAGAATTGGAACAGATGGTCTTTACCTCAATATGATAAAGGCCATCTGTGACAAACCAACAGCCAACATCATATTAAGTGGCCAAAAACTGAAGGCCTTCACCTTAAAATCAGGCACAAGACAAGGATGTCCTTTATCACCTCTCCTGTTCAACATAGTACTGGAAATACTAGCCAGAGCAATTAGACAAGAGAGAGAAATAACAGGTATAAAGATAGGAAAAAAGGAAGTTAATTATCATTATTTGCAGGTGGCATGATACTCTACATAAAAGACCCCCAAAACTCCAATGAAAGACTTCTAGATATAATAAATAAATTCAGCAATGTAGCTGGATACAAAGTCAATATTCAAAAACCAATAATATTCCTTTACACTAACAACAAAATCAGTGAGAGAAAAATAAGAGAAGTCACACCCTTCACACTAGCATCCCAAAAAATGAAATACATAAGAATTAATCTCACAAAAGAAGTAAAAGATGTAAACAGGGAAAATTATACTACCCTGAAAAAATAAATCACAGAGGATCTCAGAAAATGGAAAGACATCCCTTGTTCATGGATAGGAAGAATAACTATTGTGAAAATGGCCATTCTCCCAAAACTGTTATACAGACTCAATGCAATCCCAATGAAAATACCATCAACATACCTCATATATCTAGAGAAATCACTCCTAAAATTCATCTGGAACCAGAAGAAACCTAGAATAGCAAAGGCAATTCTAAGTGCAAATACAAGGCAGAGGCATCACAATCCTTGACTTGAATTCATACTACAAAGCTACTGTAATAAAGTCAACACAGTACTAGAATAAAAACAGAGCCGAAGATCAATGAAATAGATTAGAAGATACAACCACAACTATCAACATACTCAACCACTTTATCTTTGATAGAGGGGCCAAACATGTTCACTGAAAGAACGACAGTCTCTTTAATAAATGATGCTGGAAAAACTGGCTCTCCGTATGTCAAAAACTAAAGCTAGACCCATGCCTATCATCATATACAAAACTAAAATGTAAGTGGATCAAAGATCTGAATATTAAAACAGAAACACTAAATCTGTTGTAACACAAATTAGGTAAAAATCTTAAAGACACAGGAGTAAGTAGAGAAGTCATGAACAGGAATCAAACCGCACAGGAAATACTTTCCAGAATCAACAACTGAGATCACACCTTATTAAAAAGTTTCTGCATGTCAAAAGAAATCCCCAGCATAATGAAAAGAAAACCCACAAACTGGGAAAAAATTTTAGTGAACTGTCCCTCAGACAAATGATGTCTGTCTAAAATACATAAAGAATTAAAAGAAATCAGACCCCCAAAATTCAAAGATCCAATCCAAAAATGGGCATCTGAGACAAATACACAGTTCTCAGATAAAGAAATATAAATGGCAAATAAATACATGAAAAAATGTTCATCATCACTAGTCATTAGAGAAATGCAAGTTAAAACCACACTGAGATTCCATCTCACTCCAGAAACAATGGCCAGGAACAAGAAGACTACCAACAACAAATGCTGGGGAGGTTGTGGGGAAAGAGGGACCTTCTGCACTGTTGGTGGTAGGGTAGACTTGTGCAACCACTGTGGAGGTCGGTCTGGAGAGTACTCAAAGACCTGGGATTGGAAGTCCCATTTGACCCAGCTTTTCCACTTCTAGGCATATTCCCAGAAGAACTGAAAACATCATACCACAGTGATATATGTGCACCCATGTTTATAGCAGCACAATTTGTAATAGTCAGATCTTGGAAACAACCTAAGTGTCCATCAACTGAGGAATGGATAAAAAAGATGTGGTATTTTTATACAATGGAGTACCACTCAGCTATAAAGAATGATCACACTGAGATATTTATAAATAAATTGATGCAACTTGAGACCATACTCATAAGCAAAATAAATCAAACTCACATGTATAAATACCGTATAGTATCTCTGGTGTAAGAAATGGTAAGAATACATAAAAGTATGTGGTAAACATGATCCTCCATTACATTGCTTTGAAGCCTTATACTCTTTTCATTCATTAGTTGGAATGGTTTTATTCTGTTTTGATTTTATTTTCTGTGATGGTATGAACAGCTATTTTGAAGAAAATAAGATATTATGGCAGCCATTGCTGATTTAATATCAACTTGCTCTGAGGTCCAACCATGCTTTGTTCTTCTATTTCTATTGGTTCTATCATGTTGTATCTTATTGGATTTTAATATGTGTGATAGTATAAACAAATTTTTTATGGAAAATGAGATAATATAGTAGCCTTATTCATTTTTGGTTATTTGGTTCTGAATGCCCTGTTATACTTTCGTTCTCTTGAATGGTTTTATACTATTTTGTTATGTTTGATACTATTATATGTGAAGGTATGCTCAACTATTTCAAAGAAAGAGATATTATGGTAGCTACTGTTAATATAGGGTTGTCTTATGGTGAAGTACTGTGTTGCTTACATTGTTCTGTTCTGATTTGCTTTGTTCTGTCCTCTTTTGTCTTAATCTCTTTAAAATAAAAAAAATTAAAAGACAAAAAAGTGATTTTTATCTTTGATTTCCTGAGTTTGACACTTACTTTTATGTCTTCCTGTTTTCTGCTCCTTTAACTTCCATTCTGAATATTCCTTCAGTTCACAAATGCTTGATTCAATTTAAGGTACAATATCAGTTTTTTTTTTTTCATTGCTGTTGGTGATGTGGTTCTTGTCTTTATGCTTGTTTTGGAAATGGTATGAATTGGCTGATAGTGGACTTCATGGATTATACTTTGTTTTGTATTTGTTCTATAATGTCTGCTTTCCTTTACTCCCTGGACCAGTTGAGTTACATGTGTAGTAAGGTAAGAATTTTTGCACTTATGGCACCAAGTTTCTCAGACCAGAGTCGCCCTCTAACATTATTATAGAACAGTGCAGTTTCACCCAGAATCTCGGTGGAAGAGACTGATAAGTCAGATTTCTTGATTCTTCTTTTGTTCTGAAAATGATTTAATTTCCCCACCTACTTCTTTTTCTCTTTACCACAGTGTTTTTTGGAGGAGACTCTACCACTTAAGCCATCACGTTAGTCTCTAGATGAATGTCTTCAGAGACATGGCCTCCGATCCCTCCGCATTCAAGCTTCTTTCTTAAGATGCACAGCAGCAGCGGAATGCAGTGCACCTGTGTGCAAGGTCCCGGGGTTGTTCATAAAATGCTTAGCTCAGAATGGGCAGTTATTTTCACAGGGATAATTATCTATCTGCCCATTCTCCCTAAACTCCATCCACTATTTTATCCTCTGGTCTCCATTAGATTGGTCATTCCAAGAAGCATCCAGATGGGGCTTCCATAGATTTGAGCCCTTATTTCCTCCTGATAAGTCACTTCGAAGTTCACAGAATTTTAGGCTGTCAGCTCTACTATAACTGTGGGTTACATATGATTTATCCATCTACCTTAGAATGCAAGGCATGAGTGGAGTTGGATCATTAGCAAAATGAACATATTCGTGAGACCAACAATATGTCAAAGTGTATGAGATTCAGCTGATGTAGTGCTTGTGATAAAATTAATCTCCTTAAAATATGTACATTGCAACTGAAGAAATTAAAATTAGTAATGTGTGCTTCTACTTGACAACGGTAAAAAGAAGAACTCAAATCAAGCCTAAAGATGGGATAAGAAGATGCAAAGAAGGAGCAATAAAAATACGAGCAGACATAATGAAAAAGAACACAGACAAACAGAGTAATGAGATGTTAAAACTTTTCTCTGAAACATTAATGAAATATATAAATTCCTTGGAAAGAAGAAAGGAAAAACTACTAATAGCTACTACTAGTAGTAAATAGCTAATACTACCAGTAGAAAATAACTACCAATAGGAGTGCTATTCACGGAATCATTCAGCAGAACTTCAGTAATGAAAATAGCAATAACCACAGCAGATTATTCCATTTAATTACAGCATTCTAGACTAAATCAGAGCAACCCAAAGAATATGTACAAATGTTTGAAAATACTAATAAGTAATTGGGGAAAATTACATGATTTAACCTTCCGCTTTCTTTCATTAAATTAGCAAGAGAAACTTTGGGGGGTTTTCAATCAAATAAAAGGAATGTTTTGTTAGCGTCAAGATGATACAGAATGGAAGATTTTTGTCCAGAGATGATTTTCTGTTTGCTCATTGTCCTATACCCTCATAATTTATGATTGCTTGAGGTAATTCTTATTGATGGATATGTTCACAACTTAAATTCAAGGAAAGCAATACCATACACAGGCCAAAAGGAGCACACAAAGCAGAGAAAAAAGATGGAGAAAGACCCTGTTATTGAAGGGCTGCTTCTGTACAATGCAGTGACTCTGATGTTGGGACACTTTTAAGCATTTGAAAAATATAAATATTTTAAATTGTTGAACTTTGAAGAATATGAATGAAGCAATTATTTAATTTTATGTTCAACAGTAATGAAAAACATAATGTTACCTGGCTCCTACTTGTAGAGACCTTTTTGAGGATAGGGCTAACCCAAGGTGTAGAACTATGTGGAAACAATGGTATTTCTTTATTTTGTTTCTCTTTTGTCCCAGTCACCACAAACTCACACCAATCACACACAAACAGGTGCAGAGGGATGTGGAGTGGGATGTGGAGGGACAAGACAGTAAAGATTTCCCTGGCCAGCAGCGATTTACTACATATTCAGTGGACACCACAGAGTGGCCATCCGTGCAGCCACCCAGAGATTTCCCCTCCACAGCCCTCCTCCACCTGCATTCTACCTGAGTGAATGGAGGTTTCCGATGTTTTCCTCTCCCTCCATCTACCCAACGAAGGTTCCCTCTACTCCAGTGTCTCTGTTCCAGACCACTCAGAAGGAAGTTCACAGGCCCCTTCCAGACTGCTTCATGAAAATGTTTCAACCAGCAGTGAAGGTCAGCTCTGGAGGTTTCCCTATGGGCTGAAACCTGTACTGCAGGCTAGGTTCGGGATCCTCCTGACTAACTTCTTCCAGTGAGTCTCTTTAGGTCACTTTCTTTGCACAGTTCTCGGTTTGCTCCACTCAGAAAAGCTACCTCCAAGGTTTCCTTTGTGGGAAGGTGATCATGAAAAGAGCTCTGGTGCTAGGGATCCTCGGACTGACCAATGTCAGCCTAACGATGTCAGGAGCCCGGTGGAGGTACAGACAATGCAAGTGAGTGAGCCATTGCGGGGGTTGGACTGCAAAAAATTGTTTTAACCCTTAGTTTGTTAGTCATTGTCTCATAGAAGTCTAGGAAATCCCATTTCCCCTCACTATGAATTGTTACGTTCATTTTGCCTCCAAGAAACAAAATCCCAGCCTAAAATCTATGCTTAGTACACTAAACAGAATTCCACAATACCCACTTAACTTTGAGAACTCACCACGGGCACTGATTTCTCGCTAATATCAGAGCTAACTAATATACTCCCAAAATGTGTTGTAGCATTAATTTGTGATAGCTCCAAATATTAAAGATATTTGTCCAAATCTATTGTTCACCTTTCATAGCAATTTATAAAACTTTTTATTGATATTCTTTATACAATCTAAACTTTTTCTCATAGCTATTACTAGCTTTATCTTTATTTTGTCCATTTTCTTGGGATAACAAGGTTCATGAATTTTCTGTGCTATACAGAAAATAGCATGCCACTTTTTCAACATAATGATATTTTCCAAATAGGGACTTGGGATGTATGGAGAACAAATTTTACAGAAGATCATTAGAAATGGATAAATTAAAATAATTAGCTGAGTGACTTGGAGGAAGTCAGTTTACTGCATTGTTATTCAGATTTCTCAACTGTAAGATTAATTCAACGAGGAAACCATAGTCAAAGTAAGTAGTACATTAAATAAGAGAGAGCTACACAAATGCAGGGGTATGTCAGGATTATTATAACTATACTGTCAGGACTATTTCAGAAAGCCAAGATAATGTGTGCTGGGAAATCTAGGAACTTAAAATAGGTTAGCCTCTGCATGCCCACCCCAGATCAAGTTCTGTCGCATCTAGCCAGCAAAGCTCTTGAAGTAGGACAAAAAAAGACAAATCATGTGTCTCTTAGCTATCTTTGCTTTTCCTAATCTATGGCTCATTGCAATACACTTCAGAGCTGTTATGTCACCGACACTGACAACAATTACTGAAACCTAAACCAAGAAGCCAAGCAAGAAAGTAAAAGCGAAATGAAACATAATCTACTCTCCAGAATGTTTTCTCATCCTGATTCCTTAATTTAATAAATATTCAGTGAGATACGAAGTACTCATCTACTTACTTATATCAAAGGAACTCATTTTCTGTGATAAAGAAACAGACAATTTAAAATATATACAATGAATAAATAATTTCTGTGGTATTTTACAATGATATGAAAAAGTAAGATAAAGTATGGGGATATTGAAGGATTAGAGTAAGCTTAATAATAAATGTAATTATTTATTTAACAGATGTTACCAAATTCATACTGTATGCCATGAACTAACTCTACTAGGTATTAGAGGTACAAAAATGAGCAAGACATAACATTTCTGTAACTCATACATTGTCATATCCTATGAGTACACATTATCATGAGAAAGACAATATACATGAAAATAATATTTAAAATCTAATTTTAAAAACTTACCTCTTGGGGCTGGGGATTTAGTTCAGTAGCATAAGCACCTGCCTGGAAAGTGCAAGGTCATGAGTTTGATCCCAGGTACAAAAAAAAAAAACTTACCTCTCAATAAGTAAGATGGAAAAGATATAAATAGATACTCTGACATACGGATCATACTATTAACCTACATAATATAGACTATTTGTACCTCTGCCCCAAGTTCATAGATTTAAATCTTTTTTACATTTTTAATTAGTAAACATTTGCAGTACATAATGTTTACATTCCTCGTGTAGAGTTTGTACATGGAAATTTTAGCCTCCGAAATACAGCATTAACAGCTAAATGAGCTTCTATCCTCCGCTGACCCACCACAGTATTTTGGAAACACACAGCGCATTTCATTCCACAGGATCCCAGCTGCAGAGCAGTCTTCCTCAGAATGAGCTGAACTGTGAGTCTTATTGGTATCTGGTTCAGATGATGCTTAAATGAGACTTTGGGCTTCAGACTTTTAAGTGGATGCTGGAACAAGTTAAGATTTCTGAGGCTGTTGGTTTAGAATAAATCTATCTTGCATTTTGTAAGGAATACATTTGGGGAGCAGGATTCACCATCTGATCACGGTGACTATGGCCAGTTTACATTTGAATTTGATGGAGATGACATTTTATGTGGACCTAGAGAAATGAAAACATGTGACAATGACCTGAGTTTAGTCATTTTGCCACGTCTGAAACACAGAAAGCCCTAAGAAACCTTATTGTGGCCCAGAGCATTTGGACACCTTAATAAAACATCTAATTTTACATTTGCCACCAATGGTAAGTGTCCACAGTTCTGCCTCTCTTCATTGCTCTCACCTCACACTCCAGGCCTCCTCTCTTCTTCCCTGGGGATAGCTACTCTTGTCTCCCTTCATAGGACATTGTTATGGTTTGTGTCAGCTGTCCCCCCAAAGCCTCAGGCAGTCATGGAGGGGACTCAATCTAGCATTTGTGATTGGCTCATTGTCTAGCGCTGGGATTGGTGGTGTGAGCACTGTAGCCAGCATACAATATAAGGAAGGGAAGGAGGTGCTTTTTCCCTTGTCCCCTTTTGGCCTTTTCAGTCTTGTTGCTTTAGCCATGTCACCGTGCCTTGGAACCAGCTGAGTATGGACTGAAACCTCCAAAGAGCTGTAACTAAATAAACTTTTCCTTCCCTCATTTTGGGGGTTAAGTATTTTGTCTCAGCAAAAGTAACCAAGAAAAAGGCCTTTCTTCTTCCTCCTTCTCCCCCCCCAACTCATCCACTTCTTCTTCTTCTTTTTCTTCTTTTCCTCCTCCTCTTCTTGCTCTGCAGGATCCCAGCTGCAGAGCAGTCTGGAAATAACCTGGCAGGCACACACAGAGGTATGATTTACCAGTTCTCCAGGCATCAGTCAGTTAAATTGATAACCTAGAATTAATAAAAGTAATGCTCCTATGAGCATCTTTATTCATGGTTTTATGAATACATGTATTATGATTTGAATCTAAAATGTTTCCCCAAAGGCTCATGTGGAAGGTTACTGGCTCTTAAAGACTCTGACTTAATCAATGGATTAATGCACTGATGGATTCATATCTGATGTCATTAGCAAAGTGACAGGAACTTAGGTGCTGGGGCTTAGTTGAAGGGAGCAGGTAAGGCCTAAGGGCTCTAACTTATCCCTGACCCTCTTCTGCGCTCTCTCTCTCTCTCTCTCTCTCTCTCTCTCTCTGCTTCTTTGGCATCATGAGTTAAGAATTTTTCTCCACCTTGTCTTTCTCCTATGATATTCTGCCTCATGACAGATATAACCCTTCCTGTTTTAAGTTGCTTTTCTCGAGTATATTTATCTCAGTCGTGGACTGCTAACACAATATGTTTACATTTTTTAGGTAAATACAAGTGATACTGTGGTGTCACACGGCAGTGTCATTCAAACATGCAACTCGGTCAGTGTGAGGGGCTCTGTGAGGGCAAAGATACAAGGGACTATCCCAGAGTCCAGCCACCACAGTCCACCTTAGACAGCCAATGATTCTTGTCTCTTTCAAGTGCAAAGTATATAGAGGCCTCCCAAGACCCCACAAAGCTTTACTTCATTATACTGTCAGTTCATAGTAAGAAATATCACAGACTAAATCAGCTGCAAGTGTGAGTAGTTCATTAATTATCATTCCTTCAGTATAGGTGTTCCCGATATGAAGGCGTATGAATTAGATGTAAGTCTACCTACCCACCTGCCTACCTACACACACACACACACACACACACACACACACTTTACAATACTGAGACAAAAATACAATACCTACTATAGGCTTTTCTGTTCAAACTGGTGAAAAACAGAAACAAACCGAATTTACTGCTCTATAGAGCAAATATTGAAATCCAGCAGAGCCAATATTGGAAGTTCTTGATTAGGGCTCATTCTTAGTCCTGCCTGGGAATGATTCTCCTTTACTCCTCCTCTATCTTGTGGGCCTTGGGTTGCCTATTTGAGTTTCTGTTCCCATCCTATAGAAGGTGACACTTGCAAAAGTATAATTTTCCCACCATTTCCTGTCTGTGGATAGTGTAATTGCTCATGTGGCTGGACTTTGCTGTATCATCTTATTATCTGTTGACTACTCAGTTTTTAGTCCTCTTTTCTTACACCTGCTTTCTTTAGATTATGGATACTGGATGACTGTAGTATTTTTTAGTAGTCTGCTTTACCTATTATATGTTTTACTATTAGCTCTTCATATTTTTAGTAGTTGCTCTGAGGATTATAATATACAAACTGAACCCTTTATAGTCAACCAGAGTTAAAATTTTGCCACTTTACATGAAACTTGGAAGGCTTACAGCACTGTAGATCCCTTTGTTTCCCTTTTATGTTATATTGTTAAATGTATTGCTTCTATATCCAATAAAAACCCACTAGAATGTGTAACATTTTTTGATTTCAATATTCATACCTATTTTAAAGAATTTAAGGGATAAAATTAGTATATTCGTCTATTATATTTATCCAGATACTTGTGATTCTCTTGCTCTTCCTTTACTCCTAATAGTCTAAGCTTTTCTCTAGCATCTGAAGAATTCCACTTAATAGACTGTTCGGTGACGGTTTCTCTTTATTTGAAATTCTTCATTTTGTCTTCACTCCTCCACGAGAAGCTCAGTGCCTTCTCCCTGGGCCTCTGTATTTCCCAAGAAACCTTTCCTCGGTGTCTTCATCCCAAAACATTTACACAGGGTTATGCCCCTGCTTTGGGATGCGGAGAGTTGGGAACAACGGTGCCCCAACCCTGGCAGCCAGAAAACGCCAGGCGAACTGCCAGCTCACCGTTTCCTGGAGCCCCTCACAGCCTGGGATCCAAGGAGGGCAGGTGTGGCTGGCAGCGCTGGGCAAGGGCCTGCACAGCTGGAGACTGCTGAGCAGAATTACGCCAGAACTGTTTAACAACTGTCACGTGTAGGGCTGGGTATTTAGCTCAGTGCCACAAGCCCCTGCCAGGCAAGCACAAGGTCATGAGTTCGATCCCCAGCACCAAAAAAAAAAAAACAAAAAACAAAAACCTGTCACGTGTGAGCTGACAAAAGCACACGAACCTCCTCGCCTTTCCCCGACTTTTCGTGTCCCGGACTGCTCCTGGCAGAGCCTCGCGGGTTCAGGTAATGTGAGACAGCAAGCAGACGCCGAGGCCGCGTGGGGGGAGCCCCTCGCGGACCGACCCGGTTTCCACGCGGATTCCCTCCGTGGAGCAGCGCCAGCAAAGCAGCTCGAGCGCCGGCCTCGGGCGCCATCTAGCGGTAGAAGCGCTCTTCGCAGCCTCCGGTGCAACGCGGAAGTGGCCCAACACAGCCAGACTCAAATTCACGATTTTCTGAACATTTTTTCTTTTCCTCTTTGAACTTTTTCCATCCAGAATTTATTTGCTGGTGAATCTAGCACTGTGACTGTGACCCGCATTCCCATATGAGAGCCCAGTCTGATTTCTCCTCATTGCTCATATGAAGGGTGCTACAGAGGAAATTTTGTGCCTCCAAAACCTCACCCACAGGAAAGCTGACTGGCTCTCCCACCTTACCTTTCTCCTCCCGCAACACATGCTGAAGCCCAAACCCGAAAGGTCGCCACCCCTTCCACGCTGAGGAAAGCACACCTTCCCACGAGGCCAGAGAGCGGAAGTGCAACTTCCGCAACTTCCGGCCACTTCCTGTGCAAAACCGTAGCTGCAGAAGGACGGTTACAGAGTCTTACCTCTTAGAAATCACAGCCCAAAACGGCCAACGCTGCAGGTCGGGCCTTCTGGTGGACATGAGACAGAGTACAAGAAACCTTTTCACTGACAATGCACCAAGTTATGCCTCAAAATTGAATACAAAACACAAAGTCAGCAGACAAACAAGCTCATTAATGACACTACTGCCCATTATTCAAATTGGATTGTAAAAACATGGAGATCCATGACTTTAAGGACGACAAAGGAAAAATCTGCCAGTAGAGCAAGTGAGGAGGAGGATTAGGAAGGAGGACTGAAGTGGAAAAGCACTGCTCCAAGTAGAGGAAGTTCATAAATTTAACAAGCTTTGTCATCACCTGAGAATGTAACAGGGCAAAAGGAAGTGAACTGAATAATCTTTTTATTAGTAGATGGTGGTAGCAAGGCAAGGCAATAAAGAAGCCACAGTAGTGCCTCATTATTATGCACGTATGTAATAGACAATCAGCCAAACTCTGGAGATAGAAAATTTAAGACATGGAGTCCTGTTTACCATGTAGAAGACACATAAACAAACAAGGGGCTTGATAGAAATGTGTACAAAATACAGTGGAATCCCTAAGAATTAGGAAATCTTTCTAATGAAAATGACATTCAGATTGACTCAGAAGAATATAAAGAATGAGTTCTGAGTCTAACAAAACTTGAGAGGGCTAGAGTTGGAGGCCTCATAACATGACACTAAGGACTGTGAAATTTATTCTAAAATCAATAGGGCCATTTGCATGTTGATAACAAGTGAGACACACAGGCAGTTTCATTTTTTAGAAAAAATATGATGGGAAGAATGGTTAGGACACAAAATTGGAGGCAAAGATCTCCTTTCCATCTCCACAAAGACTACTTCTCTGTTTGCTATCATTTATCTTTGATTTTGCTCTTAAAGTTATTTAGAATTCTTATACAAGAGAAACCAGGGGGTGTTTACCCTTCTGTGTCTTATTTATTTAACTTAGCTTTCCTACAAGACTCAAAATTCATCCTTTTTGTGTCTGAGCAGTACTTCATAGTGTATATACCAAAATTTTAATCCATTCATCTGTTGGTGGCTCTGTAACCTGCTTCCAAGATTTAGCTACTGCAAATTGGGCACCTAAAAACATGAACATGCATGTGTCTTTATGATGTCTCTAACTCTTTCAGAAAGATCTGCAGAAAAGATATAGTGAGGTCAAATAAGATTCTCTAATGAGTTTTTTTAATTCCCCTGGTGATTTTAATAGTTGTTATACTTGATGATAGCCATTCCTTCGTGGGTAAGATGGACTCTCAGTGTTGTTTTGATTTGCAGGTCTCTAACAGCCAGTGCAGCTGAACGCTATTTCATGTACTGATTGGTCATTTGTACATCATCTATTAGAAGTATCTATTTATTTAAATCACTCATTTTTTGATTGAATCTTTTACTTGAGGGTCTTTTTGGGTATTTCTGTTTTCTAGAAATTAATCCTTTGTCTGAGGAGTAGCTGGCAAAAAATTCCTCCATTCTGTAGGAAGTCTCTTCCTTTTGTGAGTTGTTTCCTTTGCTGCATAAAAGCTTTCTAATTTGATATAATCCCATTCATTTATTCTTGATGTTATTTCCTATACAATTGAGATCCTGTTTAAAAAGCCCTTGCCTGTGCCCATGTCTTCCAGAGTTTTGTTTTTAAGAAAACGCCTACTAAATACCCAAGTATAAAATACCACAGTGTCTGTGGTATTCTTTCAGGAAAAATGATCCATTTGAAAAAAGAAACTAATTACATTCAGTGCTGGAGCTGTTGTAAAGTACGATCGTCTTTCCATCTTTGTGCAACAGAAAGCTCCCTATTTTGCCTCACCATTAAGTTGTGTATACCAGTTTCAAGACCTAAAAAAAGCAGTGAGTTTTATTTCTTCAACAAAGCTATTCTTAATTGAAACTGGCATTTCCTTTGTATAAGTGCACAGCAGTGAAGAATATAACTGACTGCCTCTACAGTTTGGTGTTATTGCTTCACTTCGTGCCAAGGCATTGGCAATTTCAACCTCTATAGATTCTGTGCCCTCAGAACACATAACATAGTGAAAAGAAGAACTAATATACAGTAAACTAATAATGAAGGAATTATAGAGTTGAAATAGCACCATTTTTCAATCCCCAATAAATTCACAGGCATAGGCAGTCACGATCACCTGTTATTAACATCAAAAAAGAGGAACAAGTACATCTTCTGAGGGAAGACTGCACAACGAGCTATGGGCTTTCCAAGCAGATAAAAAAAATCTGATCCAGCCTTTGTAGCCAATGCTAATTTTCAGGCAGTATGGATGCGAAGGGACATGCTAAACTGCAGCATGTGGGTGCAGTCAGCAAAAGAGTGTGGGAAACACTTCAGGATCCAGCCAACAGATTAATCTTAATGAGAAGAAAGGGATGGAGAAATCTTGTGAAATCTAAGAGAAAACAGAAAATGAAATCTGGTGTTCAGGAGTCTTATTTAGATGAACTGGTCACAAGTGGCTGCAAGAGAAGAGTTAAAGTACACACAGAATATGTTTACTTTTGACATGAGGGAAGCATTTTATTGGCCTCACGCACAAGAGGATTTTTTGCAGTGGTTAATGAGTTTCTGTTTCTTTATTTGAGCGGTGATTACAGAGGTGTTATGATTTGTGTCTAGATGTTCCCACAAAACCTCATGCAGTCATGGCGACAGGCTTCAAGAATTTATGATTTATTCATGGTCCAGTGAATGCTGGGACTATGGGTTTGGGTGCTACTGCCACCCTAGGGTGTGTACCCTGCGCATGCTATCAGGGACAGAAAGGGTCTTTGCTCTGCACTCCTCCCTTTTCGGTCTTGCTGACTTGCTGTTTTCCACTGCCATGAGCTGTTGTCCTCTGTCATGTGCCACTCTGCTTCGGAACCAGCAGAATATGGACTGAAACCTCCACAAACTGTGAGCTAGATAAACCTTTCCTTCTTCAATTTTGGGTGCAAGTATTTTGTCTCAGCAATGAGAGACAAGTAACCAGGACAAAGGGTTTTGCTTTAAATAGTCCATTAATTATACATTTTACGTGGTTTTGTATATCTGTTTTATTTTACAATAGAAATATTTTTAAATGAAAAAAAAAAGAAATAGTGATATATGAGCATTTGTCTTCTAAAGACCATGGAGACAGCAGTTGGAAGAGATAAAGATTTAGGGATCGTGACTCAGAGGGTTAGATCTGGCCATAGAAACGTAAACAGTTTGGAATTGGAAGGAGTTAGGTTTTACAGAAATTTCTGGATGATGTCATTGAGAATGGCACAAATAGAGGAAGAAGGCTGCAAAGGTGGAAGAGGCAGGACCTCAGAGCACACACTCTAGTATAGTTCAGGACTCCAAATGTGACGGAAAAGGCTCATCCTCAGAACATTAATCTCCTCTTGAGTGTCCTTCCCCTAACCCAGGGCCCAGGTCACTGGACACTGATTAGGATCCAGAAAAGAGCTTGAATTAGGACCTTAGTATCCTTGTGTTGGGAAAACAGCTCCTGAGCCCTGCAGGAAGATGATAAAGGGTTCATGAAGCAACCCAACCAGAGATTTAGGACATAATACAATGTAGTTATACACCCTCTTCCCCTCCTTGATCCCACAGAGTCTCAAGGCCAATGAACTAAGAGAATGTTCTGCCACCCAAAGACAAGGAAGAAGAGACATTACCTCATTACCAGACTGAGTCTCCATAGACCCTGGAAAGAGAGAATGGAATGTCCCAATCAGGACCTGCATGTCTCCACCTCTGCTTCCCACTGGAATATTTCTGGCTTCAGAAAAGACTAGCTTAGTGAGCTCTGAGAAGAACAATCAGCCTTTCCTGCCTCCAATCTTTGCGGTAGGGAAAGGGAGGGATGTCACAAGGCACGTGGCAGGTTTCTCTTCAAAGACTCCTTACCTCTCCAAGCCCTGAGGTGGATGACAATTCCCACCAGAAGGAAGATTACCCCAAATAGGAAGGCTGCAACTCCGCTTATCACCTTTCCCCAAGAATATTCAAGCTGAGCTCCTATGGAAAACAGATTTTAAGTTTAGTAAAAAGCTCCCAGTGTTTGGTGCACCTTCTTGAAACTTATCCTTGACACTAAATTCAATGCTGTTTAGAGAAGTTTACAAATGATTCTCTAAGCACAAGGTTCACACTCATGAAGTTATCTCCCATTTGTCGCTGATTCTTGTATTCCATGAGATGCCCCTTAAATACTAAGACCAAAGTACAAACCAGAGGATAACGGTTCCCAAGGTTAGGAGCAAGTAGTGAGGTGGACAGACTGTTGGAAGATATGAGAACAGTTTCCCTGCTTTCTCCCACCCTAACCCAAGGATTCTGATTTCTGTGACTCTTCCAGATCTAGAGAAAGAAGAATTTGGGTTGTGACCTAGATTAATGCAGAGGGGACCCAGACTCTAGAGAGTCAGTATTATCCTGAGTCAGGCCCAGAAAGTACAAGAAACTAATGCTCACTCCACTCCACAGAAACAGGGCTCAGCAGGCTGGGGTGCTCAACCTGGCAGCAGTAGACGTCTCCAAGTTCCAGGGTAATCTCCAGCATCACCACAGTCTGAAATGTCCAGTCTCCATTCCTAACAAGGCCACCGGACACAACCCTAGCTCTCTCCTCCTGTCCATTTCGGAACCACCTGATCTTTATGTCCCCCGGATAGAAGTCCGTCACTGAGCAGAAGAGCAGATTGTGCTGGTGCAGGAGAGGGGTCCTCTCCAGGTACACTGTCACCTCTGGTTGCACTAAGAAGGGAGAGAAAAATGACACTTTATAAAGGAAAACCACCAAACCAGAGCAGGAGGTTTCAGGGACTAGCACTTCCCCAGGTCTCTTTCCGGATCACCCAAGTAGAAACCCAAACCAAGGGGAATCTTAGCCCCCAAGATTTAAGAAACCTGTGATGTCAGTACCCTAGGAGATTCACTTTACCATGTCCTTCCACAGCCACTCCGTGTACTTGAAAGTATGCTAGTCCTCAAAACCCCTTTTAGCTGTGCCATATTTTACCTCAAAATAAGACCTAACAGGAAAATAAACCCTACCATGATTGTTTAGGGTGCTCCTACCAAAGGCCTACCCCAAAATAAGGGTCAGCCCGATGGACACACTTAGTACATCTGTTAAAACGCAAAACTGACACATGAATTATGATAACATTAATATATAATTAAATGTAAATAAATATTATTGCTATCAATGCTTAAATGGTAATATAAATTATTACTAAGTATTTGTAAATACCCAAGCAGGTGTCTTTGGACAAGAGGTAAACGCCTGTGTAAGCAAATCTGTGCTCCAATGGGAGCACAGATACAACACATGAATAATGTGAACACTTGATAATGAACAGACGCGACTGTGTCTAACATGAATCCACCATTCAATACATCGTGTGCCATTCACATGTACTTAATGCACTCATGAGATTTTTCATTCCTTTTGCATGGACCATTTGTGTTGTGACCTAGAGTAATACTAACCATTGTTTTTAAACTGCTATTTTTTAACTGAAAGTTATTAATGTTATTACTTTTTGCTTAACTTATTTTTTGCCTTCCCTATCCCATAACCCTCGAATGAAACCTTTCTGCAGCCCAGCCTGCAAGAGGTGGTGACTTGGATGAATAATTCATGAAATAAAATCATTGACATCTGTGTCACCAACACACCGTGAGCAGGCAGCCTGGACAGGGAATGGTCACTTAAGGAGAGTGCTATTGCTGGACCTGAAAGATTGGGGCCAGTGGTTATACAGGGAATGGAGTCACAGGTAATGCAGGCCAGAATTTGGGGTTTGGAGATTTTTGACAGTGTTCCTGAAGAAGATGACATGCCTGTACTTGAATAAACACAGACTTCCGTACATGAATAAATGTAAATTTTGTACATGGATAAATTAGATTTTTGCACTTAAATGTAGGTTGTATATGAAAAAAAGGCATCCTCTGAAAATAAGCCCTATTGTATCTTTTGGCAAAATTAATGTAAGACCCCATCTTATTCGGGGAGAATACAGTAGGACCAACACCTGGCCTGTGAGGGTGATGAGAGAGTCATCCCTGGGGACAGCACGTACTCAGGCCCCCATCATAACCCGTTTATCCTGAGGCAGACATTGAAGAAGCGCCATGGCCCGGGTCCCCTGCAGCAGATGCCTGACCCCCCTGGACCCTTCCCTCCACCTCACCTCTCCTCCCCAGGGTGAAGGGGGCGCCCAGCCAGTAGTTGCGTCTGCAGATCATATTCACAGACGCTCTGCTGGTCTCCAGGATGTCCGGGCGGTTATTCCAGAGCGCAGCATCGGGCTTCCCCAGCTCCGTCAGTGCCACGAACACCCCCACGTCGCTGTCGAAGCGCACATACTCCTCCAGGTTGAAGATGAATCTGACTACGAACTGCACCTTTTCAGTCCCATTCGTGAAGTAACAGTCAGCCTTTGCCTGAATCACAAAATCTTCTGAAAACCAAAAAGGACTAAGAACCAGAAACTGTCTTAGCTCCAGGAAATCCTGTACCTAGTAAATTATGTCAGACTACATGTGTTTGAGGGGAAGCCTTCTACACTCCATAGCACAAAATCATAGTGTTGCGAGAAAAGAAAGGGAATATGAGCCAGGCGTGGTAGCACAGGCCTGTAACCCCAGCAGTTGGGAAGCTGAGGCAGGAGACTTGTTGCAAGTTCGAGACCAGCCTGGGCTACAAAGTGAAGCCAAGGCCAGTCTGAACTGCATGATAAGAGTTCAGTAGCTGATTCCAGCAGAAGTCCCAACCTCTGTTCCTCGGCACTTACACCCTTTTCTATTTCCTCTTACAGTTCAAATAAGAAAAATGTATGAATCTTTTACCATTTGAAAGCTATGGCAACTTTTTCAGTTGTGCAGCTTAAGGTTCTTTGTACACTCAGAATGGTTTCTATTCTCTGAGAATGGTGGTGCTTCTTCCCCCAGGTTCGTTCCTCTTTTGTTTTTAGTAAAACTTTGACATTTAAAGGGATTCTGTTCTTAGCACATTACACCCTGTTTTCTGTTCTTAATTATGTGCTTTCATGTCTAACATTTCTTCAGGTGTGCGTAGCCTGTCTCCCCAGCTAGAAAAATCACATGATAAATTAACTTGGACCCAAAAACCTGAGGACAGGGGTAATTAGTGTCTTCACCTTCTCATACTTCTCAAAACTGCTCACCACAATTTTGACCACATAGTAGGAGTTGGGTAAATGACTGATAAATTTCCAGTTTCATTTATGGGCATATATCCCCATTCAAAAAATACAGAAATGATCACAATCTTTAGAATGAACTCCTGGCTTAAAGATGGGATCTATTCTCGGACTGTTTCCAACCTTAACAGTTTTTGAGACTGAAGTTACACAAAAATGAACCTAACCTGACGCTATGTTCCCTTCTTCCTAACACCCTGCTCTCTGGGGCTGGGTCTGTGGTACTGGAAGTCCCTTTGTCAGGAAATCCACTGTGCATGGGGAAGAGGGAAAGAGCACTTTTTGGACAATGGGAAGAAAACTGCTCTTTGAAACCAGAAGCTGCCTTTACTATTTCTACAGCCTAGACCTACAGGGAAGAGCCTCCCTCCTTCACACCAATGCCAGTAAACACTCAGAAAAACGTTGCCCCGTTCTTACCTGGAGAGTCTCTGCCTCCAGTCGTGGAGGACACCAGCCTGGTCACTAGCAGGCCCAGCACCCAGTTCACCCCGCCAGAACCCATCCTGAAAGTAACACAGTAAAACTGTCAGCTTCTTAGAATGGTGCTTGTCTCTGCACAACTCAACCCCAAAAAATTACTTATTATGAATATAAATAACTTTTGGCCTCCCTGGGGTTGGGAACTTCCTCAGGCTGCTAACCAATCAAGATAGAAGAGTTTTGCATCAGTAGGTGCTGGGCAGAATATGTCATCAGCTGTGTTACGCTGCCCAAGGAGTGGTTGATGGTTATCTGTAGAATCACTCTCAGTACTACAGGCTTGTGAGAAATGGGCTGAGATTAAAAACTATATATATTCTCCATCCTACCTTGTATGAGATCCTAGAAGAATGAAACAGGTTGCTTATTAAGATTCCTGCTACCCTTATTCAGCATACTCCCTGGACTGCCCTGACCAACGGGCTCTCACTGGCCCCTTCTTATGGAGTGGAGGACACTGGCGGCAAAGAGTGTATAAATAAACAGGAAGTGAACAGAGTCCTGCAGCGTATCTTGGTGTAAGTAAAGCAATAGTCTGGGAACAAACAGAAGAATTAACAAATAATTTTTGAAGTGTAATTTCCTGTAAACCAACAAAAAAATGGAGGAGAGAGAATTCTCAGAAGAATAAAACATACAAAAATGTTTGTCAGGATAGAATGTAAGAAAACAGAAGGAGGGGCTGTCTGGCCAGTGAGATGGCAGGAAAGAACTCCAGCACATGCTGCCTGGCAGAACCATCAACCTGAGCAACCAGCCAAGCATGAAAATACTTTCACAAGTGCTAAGGAAAGCGGGTGAGGAACTACAGCCCTTGGTGTGGCACAGAAATAAGAAAAAGAGCACTGATGAGGGAAGGACAGACAGTTTTACAGCCCCATGTCACCTGTCCCCCCAAGCCCAGGCAGCACAGCGTGGAGAGAGAGGCCGCCTGCCTGGAGGAAGGAGAGGAAATTGAGCACCGAACTTTGCCTCAGATTCCAACATCAGGCTGCCCCAAAAAAACCCAAGACTGGGCCACTTCCAGTACCCAGACTCCAAGACCATATGGATGGACTCAGTCTCAGGGCCACCCAGGTCTAACTTCAGATAGCTGTGGTTCCAAAGACCCCAGGGCAAAGGCCAGCCCCTGCAGATGAAGGATCTGGGCCAATATAATCCAAGCCATCCCTTTGGCTCCTATCTCCAGACCAGTATCCATGGACAAAGCCTCCATGCCCACTCCAGCACCAAGTGAAATTATGTTATAGTGGGCTGTAGGCCAGCTCAGAGGACTCATGCTCTCACCGGCCCCTTTACGGCCCCCGTCTTCAGGCCCCCTGTCAGGAGCAGCTGATCCTTCACAGCCCCAAGAACATGGGGCAGAAGAGGGGAGCCAGCTAAGCAAAGGGTGTCACATGACCAGTGTATAAATAAACACATGTGATGGTTGAGCAGTTCCCTTTCCTCGCATCTGGAGAGAGGGCTCCACCTGACCTCAGCTTTCTGTGTGTTGTCTCTTGTTTTTATTTCTCTGCCCTCTCACCATCCTTACCCCCAGGATCTTGAGAGCTGCGCTGGACACAGCAGCCCCCAGACCCAGATTTATCCCTAAAGGACTAGTCCTCATGTCAGTACCTGCAGGCTCAGTCTCCAAACTATCTCCAGTGGATACAGGCTCCAAGCCTATCCAGTGCCAAGCCAGCCAGCCTAGCACCTCTGGCCTCCAGCACTAGGCGGGTCCCATAGACAGAGCCTCCAGGTCTGCCTGGTGCCAGCCTGACTCCCAGGACTCACTCTCCAGTTCTACCCCTGTGCCCATGATCCAGTGGATCCTGCTCCACGAAACCAGGACCTGGACCCATCCCAGTAGACTCCAGCACTAGATAAGCCCCAGCCCCCACAGACTTCAGCTCCAGGGTGGCCCCTGTGTGTCCAGGTCCCAAACTGGTCCCTAAGGGCTCAAGACCTATGCCAGCCCTCACTAACTGATCCTACAAGCCAGCACCTGCATGCCCTGCAGATACAGGATCTGCTATGCTTTAGATCTGAATTGTTCCCCAGACATCTCACGTATTCAGAGGTGGGGTTTGCAGAAAGCTGTATAAAAATACATAGCTGTCCTTAGAAGACAGCAACAGCAAATTTTTTATTTAGGATTTTATTTATTTATAAAGGATTCTGAAAGATATTGCTTACAATCACCAGCAACCTTCACTTCATAGGTACACAGGACACCATGCACATCAGTGTCCTGGAGGTACGTCACTAGCTCTGGCCAGCATGCTGTGAACGAAAAGTTCTTGGCAGAGGATTTAACAACCAGTGCCTGACTCTTCTCTTTCCTTAAGAAGTTAACCAACACAGCCTTGTGTTAGTGACAGAATAACAATGTAAAAGCAGTCAAATCAGCCGAATTATCACAGACAGCCACTGTCCTAGCACCCAATTATCCTAAACAGGCTCTGTGCGAGTAAAAAATAGCATTTATTTCATCAAGAGGCAGCAGTTATTACTGTAGAAGAACAGGTATCTCATCCTCAACCTGTCTTAGGTTCTCCAGTACCAGTCTGTGGCTAGACAAGGCGCTGTAAACTGGACAAACAAGAGACAGATGAACAAGATAAAATGTATTTAATGTAAACTATGTGATGTGGAAGCATTCATAAGGAAGTGAAGCTCTAAAGAAGCCAAAGACTGCGTGCATTTTTCTCCTAGGACTGGTGAAGAGTAGAAGATTGTGGGGAAATGTGATGGAGAGAGGGTAAGAGCTAAGGGCGAGACAGATGAGAAACATCTGCTCTTCCTTCCTGTGACTGCTGGGGTAGGGTGACAGCTGTGACACCCTGCCCCTCACTCCCCTTTGCTTTCCCATGGTCCCCTGAGGGGGAAATGGGACAGCTTGCCTCAGTATCCCCGGCAATCCTAAGGTTATAGGTTACAGTTGTTATGGTTTATATCTAGTTGTCCCCCAAAACCTCACACATTCATAGATGGGGCTTTTGCAGGATGACTGGACCATGGGTGTGTGATTCTGGATTAATCCACTGATGGATTTTGCAGCTGGGTGCAGGGTTGGAAGGTGAAGCCTGGCAGGAAGAGGTGGGTCAGTGGATGTGGTCTGAAGGATGTATGTCCCTGCTCCTGCCTTGATCCTGCTCTGTGTCCCACTTGCCATGCTATGACCAAGTCCCCCTGCCATATCACCCTGCCTTGGAACCAGCTGACTACAGATGGCAATCTCCAAAAACTGTGAGCTAAGTAAACCTTTCTTCCTTTAACTTGTGGACATCAGCTATTTAGTCCCAGCAACAAGAAAATAACTAAGACACAGCTCCTCTCTGACGGGAGGTGCAGCTGGGCTGTCAGCTGGGGTCCTGCTTCCCCACCCCTGCCACTCGAGACACTGCTGCTGCCTCTCTGGCAGGAAAACCACCCCTAACATGGCAGAGATCAGCAAAGGCTCCAGATGCTACTAATAACATCCCCAATATCCCAGGCCTCAATAAGCTGTGATTACTACAGCTAGCCCTCCTGAAGATTTCCTGATTTTAGCCCCACCATTTCTGTGGAAACAGAACACCTGTTATTCAAGTAGCTGAGTCTCCAATTATCCCCTCCAGCTGTCATCAGGACACTGCCGCTATCCTGAACTCCCTATGTTCACTTGGAGATATCTGCCAAGAGAAGGCTTGAATAGCAGGCTTGAATTAGAACTAAGCAGGAGAATCAGATTTGGACAAATTGTTAGTCTCAGATAAGAAATCTTGAATTTTGACCAGGAGTCCCCAAACCCACAGTCACAGATCAGTACCAACCTGAGGCATTTTAGTAACTGGGCTGCACAGCAGGAGGTGAGTGAGAGGCCAGGGACCACAGCTTCTTCAATATTTATAGTCCCTCCCCATCACCACATCATGCCTGAGCTCCACTCCCAGATCAGCAACAACAACAGAATCTCATAGGGGTGTGAACACTCCTATGATCTGCACATGCAGGAGATCCAGGTTGTGCACTCTTTAGGAGAATCTATTCCTGAAACCATCCCTCTCACCCACCAGGCCATGGAAAAATTATCTTCCACAAAGATTTTTAAAAAAAGATTGAGGCCTGCTGGTTTAGATCAGTGTAGGACAATCTGCAGGACCAATCAGCAGGCTCAAATTTGGGCCAATTATTTTTTGTTTTTTCTTTTTTCTAATGTTAAAGAAAAAAATAACAATAGTACAAAATTTCAAAATAAGATCATAAGAGAGAAACAATGGTTTGTACACTGTTATTATTATCAAAATAATTTCTCCTATTACAAGATATAGGCATGAAAAATTGATCAAACCATGTAGCCACAAATCTTGCTTTTCAGCGAACTAATATCAATTAGTAGTATGAATATTCTGTTTGTTTATTTATTTTTCCTTTTCCTTTCCTTCTTTTCTCCTTTCCCCCATCCCAGTTTCTCTTTCCTTTTGAACAATTTCTTACAATCTAGCAATATCTGTTGTACAATTTGGATCTTTCTTACTTATTTAGCTTCTTAAACTAGGGAGAAAATACAGTTTACACATGTATGGGGGACCTGGGCTAGAGCCCAATCTCCCAAAGGAGTGTACGGCAAGGGTTAAATAAATGAGATCAGTGAGATGATTTTAAGGCTCCAGGAGGATCAAAACTCTTCTGCAGAGTTGGAGACTGAGGGCTAAGACATAGCATGTTTCTGGGCAGCCCGCATTTATTTAGGGGTTTAGAGTAGAAGATGCAGGAAATTGAACAGACCTTGGAGGTGGTTCAAGAACCTTGCCAAGTAACAAACTCTGTCTAAGAGAACTAATTTATGGAAAGCTCTCCATGTTGCATTTCACTGCAGAGGTGAAATGCCTGTGGCTACAGTCTATTTCATTAATTGGAGTTAGAGCCAGGCGTCCTCAGCTGTGATCTTATCTTGCCCCAGCTATGCAGCAGCCCTGCATGTGTGTTCAATTTCCAGCTTCAACAACTCCCAACACACATACAAGACTTACTTATTTCATTTACAATTATGGTCTCTAGTTGCACCTATTTAGCTATAAAAGCCTCAATGTGATCCTTCTTTATAGCTGAACAGTACTCCATTGTATAAAATACCACATCTTTTTCATCCATTCCTCAGCTGATGGGCATTTGGGTTGTTTACAAGATTTAGCTGTTACAAATTGTGCTGCTGCAAACATGGGTGCACATGTATTGCTGTGATATGATGCTTTTAATTCTTATGGGAAAATATCCAGAAGGGCAATAGCTGGGTCAAATGGGACCTGTAATCCTAGGTTTTTGAGGAATTTCCACACTGATTTCCACAGTGGTTGTACAAATCTACACTTCCATCAATAGTAGAGAAGTGTTTCTTTCCTGCACAGCTCCTCCAGCATTTGTTATTGGCTGATTTCTTGATGATAGACTGGGGTGAGATGGAATCTCAGTGTTGCCTTAATTTGCATCTCTCAGATGAGCAACGATGTTGAACATTTTTTCATATGTTTACTTTCCATTTGTATTTCTTCATCTGAGAAGTATGTATTCATCTCAGATATCCATTTTTTAATTTGGGACTCTAGTTTTTCAATTCTGTATATGTCCTAGATAAAAGTCCTTTGAGGGAGCTGGCTAAAATTTTTTCCCACTCTTTGGGTTGTCTTTTCACTCTGTTGATTTCTTTTGATGTGCAAAAGCTTTTTAATTATGAGTCCCCAACTGTTGATTCTTTGAAGTGTTTCCCATGCTGTTTGGGTTTTGTTCATGAAGCCTCTGACTACGTCTGGGCTTTCAAGAGTTTTACTTACTTTCTCTTCCAATATATTCAGTGTTTCTGTTTTAATATTTAGATCTTTGATCCATTTTGACTTTAGTTCACTGCATGCTGATAGACACAAGTCTAGTCTGGCATGTGGAGGGCCAGTTTCTCCAGCACCGTTTATTAAAGAAGCTATCTTTTTTCCAGTGAACATGTTTGAAATTTGAGCCAAATGTCAAATAGATTTGAATTTGAACAATCAGCAGACTTGAACTTAGACCTGCCGATGCTATGTAAGCAGGACTCCTCTCAAACTTCCCGGGTTGCTCTAGGAGTATTCCTTCTTGTGCTCTGATACTCCAGGGCTGCAATTTCCTGTTCCAATAAAGCCTCAGTTGTGGTCCTGTGAGTCCCCTCATGATGTATTTCTCATGGCTTAGACTTGTGCACAGGGTGGTTTGTTACGTTTGTGAAAGGAATATTCATTTACCCCACATTTTCTTTTTTTTAAAATTTTATTTAAAAGGAAAAAGAGAAAAACACAAAACAAAACAAAGCGGTGTAAGGCTACACGTAATATAGTACTACAAAAAAAAAAACAGTAAGAAAT